AACCATAATGTTTGTACCCTCATAGTACCCTGAAATAAAAATAAATAAATAAATAAACAATTTAGGATGGTCCAAAAAAAACACAAAAACCAAAGAACTCCAGTATACCTTCACTCAAATTCACCAATTGCTGACATTTGGCTGCATTTGCTTTATAATATTTGTTTTCTCTCTCCCCCTTCCCTTCCTGCCCCGTGTCTCTGTGTGTTTCCTGAACCATTTGAAAACCAGGTGCATATCATGCCCCCTTACCCCTAAAAACTTCAGTGTGTATTTCCTAAGAACAAGGGCATTCTCTTGTACAATTTTATCAAATTCAGAAGATTCAACATTGATACATAGAAATATTGATATATAAAAATATAATTCATATATATTTCATCAATTGTTCTAATAATGTTCTTTTATAGCAATTTTTCTGATCCAATCAATGATTAGGCAATGCATTTAATTGTATTGTTTCTCTAGTTTCTTTATAATCTGGATCAATTCTCAGCCTTCTTCATCTTTCCTGACATTGACAGTTTTGAAGAGTTTAGTCTTTTATTACCTCCTTCATTTTACTTGCTGCAGAGTTGAGAAAAGGCAATTCACATAGGCCCCAAGGGCTCTTTACCTACTCCCTCGAGTGGCTTAGCCGGTTCTACAGATCTGAGTTAGCTCCAAGGAAGGACGGGCTGGCATGGGCTCTGGAGCTCCAGGGGCTTCCATTTCTAACACAACCATTTCCTCGCCCCGGCTGCTTCTACTGCTGCATGGTTACACGTATTCTCTGACCCCATTTTCACCTGAATAGTTCTGAGCGTGGGGCTCCCTTTCTATTGCAGTGCTTTCTTAGGCACAGTTCTCTGTGAAGAATCTTCATATGTGCTCTGCTACTTCTCAACTTGTTTTTCTGTAATAAACCCTTTGTGGCCCTAGCAGTGTCCGTGTTTCTGTCCCCACCCCCCTGCACGATTGTTGATGACCGTGAAAGGAAATACTCCAGTATTTCCCAATGCAGTGCATTTTGGAAGCAGCAAAATCCATCTGCCTCCCTCCCCAGGCGAGAAACATTCTCTCAGGGGTCCTAGGAGTCGTGCAGTCACTGGGAGGGGCGACGAGCGCCCAGAGCAAGCAGGGTCGCCGTAGTGCCCGGTAACTCAGCGGAGGTAAATCTTTTGTGCACATGTGCATGTGTGTAATGTATACGTACACAAGAGAAATTGAGTGATGGAGGAAGAGAGGCTATGTGTGCAGTTCATTCTCTGAAACCTGATCTTTCTAAAGCATTTCCAACAAGCAAGTAACCGTATCTAATGGCAACATGCTGGAATCTTGAGGGCAGATGGAAAGGATTATGATGTACGGAAAATTCCAAGTTGGAATGGTGCTGATACACGTGAAAATCAATTTGCAGCTACTAGAAGTGGGGAGGAGCATATAAATTCTTTAAAACAAAAAGCCAGTGTTAACAGGATTGGAGAAATGAAGTTAAAAGGATTCGATGTTGCTCCTGAATAGAAGTGAAAGTCCAACCTGGTTCCATTAAAATGACTTCTCAGCGGTCTTTCCCTGCAGACGACTTCGGTGTCTACTATGTCCTGTGAGCCTTTACCTACTACAGCTTTGTAGATAAGATCAGTGGTGGGGGAGAGCCATGCTCAGAGGATTCGGGGGATACATGCTCCCAGGTTTGACCCATGGGAGGTCCGCAAAAGGAAGGGAAGATATTATCTAATATCTCGGCAATAGATACATGTACTTCCTAAAGAGTGACAGTCCAGGGCCTCCCATGACATCGATAAGTAAAAGTGAAAATGGCCATTCATGTAACAGGGAACACTTTTCAAACTGACATAACTGTAAGTAGATATACTGAGGCAAGCTTAGATTATTATGAGATGTTTGATTTCCTTAAGTACTAAGACAGTTGATATCTCTGACATTTCACTTTGACACTTCTTGTTTTATTTTTATTGTGAAGGTACATCTTATTCTTTCAAACACATGATTTGGCTTGTGATTATCTTTCAAAAACTTTTTTAGAGCAATTTTTGTGAAAGCATGGATAAGTCATAAATTCGAGTTATTTTCTAATATGAGTTCCATCGTGGAACCGATGCAGCACACATAGCTCAAAATATCAATGAAGTGTTTGGGAAGGATGTGTCTAATGAACACACAGTACATTGATGCTTGAGAAGTTCCTTTCTGGTGATTTTAATCTTGAAAATGAGCCATGCGGGTGACCTCAGACCAAGATAGATAATGATGAGCTGAAATCTGTAGTAGAAGCAAATTCATCTCAACCTGCACATGAATTAGCAGCAAGGTTGGATGTTACTATGCCAACAATATCTGACCATTTGAAACAAATCAGCAAGATAAAGAAGCTGGATAGATGGGTTCAGCATGAACTAAACAAGTGTCAGAAGAGAAATCGTCTCAAGGTTTGCCTTTCTTTGCTGTCACTACCTAAAGGTGAACCACACATTGTTATATGTGATGAAAAATGGATTCTTTTTGACAAATGCAAGCGAATGGTTGGATAAAGATGCAGTGACGAAACACAGTCCAAAATCGAATATTCATCAAATAAAGCTAACGTTGTCTGTTTGATGGTCCAGCACTGGTATTATCCACTACAGCTTCATGAAACCTGGTCAGTCGATCACAGCAGATGTCTATTGGAACCAACTGGACGAAATGATGAGGATGCTTGTGATTAAGCAGCTGACATTGGTCAATAGAGACAGGCCAATCCTTTGCAGGAGAACACTCGACCACATGTCGCACAAACAACACTGCTCAAATTACAGAACTTGGAAACTATCTGTCATCCACCGTATTCACCAGACCTTGCACCAACTGACTGTCACTTCCTCCAGGCTTTGGACCACTTCTCGCAAGGAAAAATATCCAATTCTCAACAAGCCGTGGAAAATGTCTTTCGCAATTTCATCGCTACTCTCTCTGTAGGCTTCTTTGTTGCTGGCATAAACAAGCCACCGTTAAGATGGCAAAACTATGTTGATAGTTTAAGTGTCTTTGATTAATTGTACTGCTTGTTGTTTGAGATATAATAAACTTTTGATTCAAAATTGGACATTTCATATTTAATGACCTAATAGCTGTTTCATGGAGTCCCAATTTTAGATACAGTATAAGGAAAGAAAAACTATAAAGGACGAAGATAGTGGGCTGCCTGGTGCAATACGAGAAATTTCAAAAGGAAGCTCTGTGTGGGGAGAGGAGGTCTCCTAGGAAGTCTTCGGTGTTCTCTGTGCACGTCTGGCCAATTCTCATGAACACTAATTCTGTAGTTTACTGTGAAGGACATGCTAGATCGGTTACTTTAAATTTGGAGTTGTTTGTTTGTTTTGAGATAGGGTCTCACTGTGCTGCCTGGGTTAGAGTGCAGTGGCCTCATCATATGGCTCCCAGCAATCTCAGACTCCTGGGCTCAAGCGATCCTCCTGCCTCAGCCTCCTGGGTAGCTGGGACTACTGGTGCACACCACCACGCCCGGTTAATTTTTGTATTTTTGTGTAGAGATGGGATCTCACTCTTGCTCAGGCTGGTCTTAAACTCCTGACCTCAAGTGATCCTCCACTGTATTTGCCCATAGTATATTACCATGGGAAAATGACTAAATCATGTAAACCTGATACTTCATCTGTAAAATGGGATTTAAAAATAAGTGTTCCTACCCCATAAAATTGTTGAAAGAATTTAATGGGAAAATGCATGTTAAGTACTTAACATGGTGCCAGGCTCAATACATGATAGCTATCGTTGTCATTAACTATCATCTATTGTCATTATTATTGCTACTAATAATAATTACCCAACAAAAAAGGAAAAGCTTTGGTATTTAGTGGGAAAGTTTACATTTTTAGCCAAGCAATTCTAGGACTCTGAAAAGCTGATATTTTCAGCTGTCTGGCTTTGGTTTGGGGAAGACATTTTGTCTGTCTTATTTGGCTTGTTCAGCGTTCTCGACTGCTTTTAGACTCCCAGTTCCAATACTTCTGTTCTTGGTATGGAATGTATTTGAGGGAAGACTTACGAAAAACTCTTCTTCATTTCATGAGATTGAGAGGGCCTTATTGTCATCTGCGCATATTTTGTTCCCTCAAAACACTTTCTTTCTTTCTCCGTGGCACCAACACAGCACAGAGTGCACGGATTACTACGACAGCCTTCCTGTTAACGAGACTGACCAGAACCAGCCCCACTTCCAGGGCGTGGCCGGCCTGCGGAACTTGGGCAACACGTGCTACATGAACGCCATCTTGCAGTGTCTCTGCAGCATCTCGCCGCTGGTGGAATACTTCCTCTCCGGAAAGTACGTCACCGCTCTTCAAAAGTAAGGCCATTTCCAGTCCCTGCCGCCCCGCCCCCAGCCCCAGGGCCCCACAGGTGAGGTTAGGGGAGGAACCCTCTGGAGTCCCTGCTGAGGACTAGACAAGTTGGCAGAGGCGCAGCTCCCCAGGTAATGTATGGAGGGCGAGTAAAGTGGGAAGGACAACCAAGAAATGAACGAAGCTCCATTTTTGGACGAATTCCCTATGCTAGGGGATTAGGTGCCTTCTTTTCATTAAATCAGCCAGAAACATGCCCCTTCCTTCTTCCAAGGGACTGCAGCGAGGTTGCCACTGCTTTTGCCTACCTGATGACAGACATGTGGCTCGGAGACTCAGACTGTGTCTCACCAGAGATATTTCGGTCAGCTCTTGGCAACCTCTACCCAGCGTTTATGAAAAAGACACAGCAAGATGCTCAGGAATTCTTGATTTATGTCCTAAACGAACTACATGAGGCTCTGAAAAAGGTAAGTAGAGTGAATGACCTTAAAATCAGGCCTGCAGCTTTAGCAGCAACTTCCATTTTTCATTCTTTCATTCATGCAGTCAATAGCCGACTCTTCGCCAAGTGCTGTACTAGGTGTTGGGGCTTCAGTGAGAACATTCAAGTTAGTGTCTACATGTATAGCTGTATTTACCAAACTTACTTATCATCAGAGTCACCTGGGAAGATTTCACAACACCGATTCTAAGGCACTTACTGCAGTATTAGTGAATTATTATAGAATGTCTGGGGGCTGTCTTCTGAGAAAGCTCACTTGGCATTCGCAGTGGTCAGCCAGGTATGGGAACCACTCATCTAGTTCCCTTTACAAATAAAATCTGCGTGGACTACTTTTTAAAAGTGGAAATCACTTTTTTAAAATAAAAATATATTCCTCATGAGAAATAACATGTAGAAATTTACAACTTAAATTTTCTTGGCACCTACAAATCCATGAAAATATTAAACTTGGTATTAGAGTAAGGGACAGATCTATGCACTGTGAAGTTTCATCTTCATATCAGACATGCCTAACCTAAGTTCTTCATTGGATTAGGACATACATTTGATTAAACAAGAAATCACCAGTTACTCGAGAGGTTTATTTACAAAACCCACTGCCCTTAGCTTTGGTCTGAGACCCACACCCCCTGAAGATACGTCCTTGACTTTAGACAAATATTCTCATGTTAATGTGACCTCACTGCCTACCTAATACCCAGGACATGGTTAGCAAAAAGATGACAAGCTGTAGCCATTAATCATTTGCGATCTTCAGTTCCATTTTCATTGTTAGTAATAACAAGATATTCATGGCAGTACTTTTTTTAGCCAGAGAAGAGAGTGGTGGTCAATAAAGATCACTTATGTTCTCATCTGCAGCCAACCCGAAATAAACAGCATTCTGGTTCCCAAGACCAAACTAGGAATTAGGGGCATTAAATTACTGTCAGGGTGGACGACCTTGGCCACAAAGATGTGATGAATGAAGCAAGGAAGGTGGAATGGTGGGCACAGCTCCAAATGAGAGCCGGCTGGGGAGTTAATACAGCTTCCAAATATATATTCTCCTGAGACTCTAAAATCACTGAAAACTCAAGTGTGCTCCGGAAATGCTGTTCTCGAGAATGAGCTCGATTCAAACCAGGCCACAAGGCTAGTGAAATCAGGCTGCTGTGGGAATTTAAGATTTGCTCTTTTTAAAAAGTATTTTCTATAAACTGAAGGAGAAAGGGGTAGGGAATGTAACCTGAAGGAACTAGAGGGAGGAAAGATGGAATTCCTTTATTTTACCTCTAGATCTGCTTGCAAGACCTAAAGCTAGCTCAACAGCTTACTTACCCTCTTCCCAGGAAAAACTAGCTCCAGGAACCTGTATCGCATCGTCACAGGCTGTCAGCTTACGGGGCCGTGGACATGGGCTTTACCAGCGTTAGGGTGTCATCATTCCTCAGCTTCACTTAAAAAGGAAAATCTCTGAATTATCAGGAATCACATGTGATATTTACTCTCAAGAAGTTCTTAGTGTATTTATCGTCTGAATCCAAAACCCAGTGCTTTCTGGTAGCAATGTATCATTCCAATGGGGAAAAAAATCAGTCATTCTATTAAAAAATTTTTTTTGATAACCAGTAGTTGATTTGGGGGGAATTTGTTCCTTGATTCAGTACCACCGAAGAAGATCATATGAGAAAAGATCTACTCAGAGATGCTGCAGGAAGGCTATCGTCAATGAGACGTCCATCATCACCCGGCTGTTCGAAGGGCAGCTCAATTATAGCATCGTATGTTTAAAGTGTGAGAACTGCACCTACAAAAACGAAGTCTTCACCGTCCTGTCGCTCCCCATTCCATCCGAATATGAATGTTCCCTTCAGGTAGGGGTTCTCTGTGCCTGGATATGTTTGTCCTGCTCTGCTCTCAGCCACCCTGGATTTTCTCAGGGCTGTTACCTACATTATTTTTAGTATGAGAGAACTGTTTTATAATTAAAAAAAAAAAAAAGGAAGCCCATGATGACAGCATTTTTTAAAAAAGCAACATACTGACCAAAAATTACCGTGAGTTCAGTTGTATTTCTAAATGTACCCAGCAAAAGAGCCGTATTGTAAAATTAGAAATACATGTGCGGTTTATTCAGTCTATTGAGATGATTTGGTGCATGCAAGGAATTTATAGTTTCTTGCAAAAATTTACAGCCCTTCCTCACCCCAAAGGTCTGTAGGCTCAGACTGGGAATTAGATATAAAAGATTCTGACTCTTAGTCTTGAGCTCATATTTTAAACTAAAACTGTGAAATGTATTGGGAAGAGAATGGACTCTAGTGCCTTAGTTTACCTCTCTAATTTTCTTTACCATGATCCTAGAAGCGAATCTGTAAGAGGGGATGTAGGTATGGGGTGGGTGGCAGTAGAAGGCAGGCAGCAGTAAGTTTTCTTGCAGAATTGTTCACATTTATATTTTTCTTCCTAAATTATGAAAGCACATCTATTGCTTAAAGTTTTCATATACCGGAACTGGATAACAGACCCCTGCTACCTATTCAGCATCGGTCTTTGTTCTCAGATCATACTGCCAAAAATTGCTAGAAAAGGAATCTCAGACACTCTTTAAGTGAGAAGCTGGCAGGTCTACCGAAAACAAAATCTGCACTTACCTTCCTCTTTAGGTTAAAGCTTTGCAAAACCAGGGGCCTGGCCACATTGAGGCTATCTCCTGCGTATATGAGGTCTAATTTAATTTCTGTTCTGTTGTCTTTATTATGGGCTACCCGAAAACCCTGAGATGTGCTTATTTTTTCAGCCACCAGATCACTTCAGTGATGAGACGGATAACATAAGACAGCTGCCTGACTTCATTAGTGAAAATTGAAAGTCAATATTATTCTGAAATAAACCAGAAATGTTAAAATGCTGATTCATGAATTATCAGTGAGGTAGGCACTCAGATGCATTTCACTAACTAGGTGAGAAAGAAGCACCTCCTTTGCTAGGTAGATTTCATAGCTCTGCGGGCTGCAGTTTGCAACACTGGTATCTCCTGGACTTGTTGACTTTGAGAAAAGCACCGAGGATGACATTTCCATAACTCTTTCACAGTTCTAATATAAACAGAGACCCCAGGTTGCGGTCGATCCAGTTTGGTCACCTAATGCTTTTTTCCTCAACAGGACTGTCTCCAGTGTTTTTTCCAACAAGACACACTGACCTGGAACAACCAGATTCATTGCTCCTTTTGTGAAACCAAGCAAGAAACAGCTGTGAGGGCCAGTATTTCCAAAGCACCAAAAATAATTGTTTTTCACTTAAAAAGGTAAGGATTTTGACATTTTGTGGATATTTCTGA